ATAGCAGTATACTTACCAGAAACTAATTTTTCAGTAAAAACAAATGAGTCACTCTTCTGACTTTCAGACCATGTCTCAATAACTACCCAATCGTTACTCTTTGTTTGATAAACCTTTTGATAAATATATTTGAAGTTAAACTAATTTAAAATAAAGATAATAGTTTAATCAACATATGTGTATAATTGTTTATATCAGGCTAGGTCGGGAAGCGGGAGCAATCGTTCTCGAATACTGACCACGGAAATTATATTTAGTTGCGTAAAACTGGCCAGATTTTCTAGTCGTTTTGAGAACATTTAAGTTTATGTACGAAACAAAAAAATTTTGTTTTACGAACATACATGGAAACATAAAAAACTTGAATGTTCTCAAAACATCTTTGTGCGAAAGAATAAAAAGAATATTTGCGAAAACTAAAAACCCGCCAAATTAACGAACAAACTAATTCTATTTGTTCAAAAAATACGCTGATTAAGCGAATTAAAGTTCTAGAGTATTCTGTTAAATTGTTTTAAAAATTGTATTATTCACGATTTGTTACGTTTTGAGATTTCTAGCATTGTTTTAAGAATATATATTGTTTGTTAACGAAAATAAATGTTTTAAATATATACTAATTAAATTGTTTAAATTTTAAAAGTTTGTTATAAATCATTGATTTTATTAGTATATTCTTATTTTTTATTTTAAAAGAGATTGTATTCTTTATGTAAATGTAATTTTGTGTATTTGTTTTTTATCATAATGTATCTTTTAAAGCAATTTTTATGATTTAAACAAAGACTTACAAAAATAATTGCGCCTTCAATGAAGTTATAATCAGTAAAGTTAATAAAACTAATTATGTAACAAACATATAAGAAGTTTCTGATAATTAAACACAAACAACGCATACAAAGTAACTCGCAGATAAACAAGCATTGCGCCTGAGGTCACGACAGAACACAAATATATATAGCAAATAATTAGATATTAAGAAAAGTTTCTAGATATTTACTAACTCTAATTATTTTGGCTTAAGTTGCCATTCTTGAAACTCAAAACTTTTTTCTGCATTAAATACTAATTAAAATTAAAACGCCCACTCACTAAACATCATCAGCGATGATGTTTAGTGAGTGGGCGTTTTTAACCTTTTTAGTTGATTTCTATCTTGATAATTAAACTCTTAGTATTTTTAACCTTTTTAGTTGATTTCTATCTTGATAATTAAACTCCCGCTTCCCGACCAAGCCTGATATATATATATATATATATATATATATATATATATATATATATATATATATATATATATATATATATATATATATATATATATATATATATGTATATATATATATATTTATATATATGTATATATATATATATATATATAATATATATATATATATATATATATATATAAATATATATATATATACATACATATATATATATATATGTATATATATATATATATATATATATATATATATATATATATATATATATATATATATATATATGTATATATATATATATATATATATATATATATATATATATATAAATATATATATATATATATATAAATATATATATATATACATACTATATATATATATATATATATATATATATATATATATATATATATATATATATATATATATATATATATATATTTATTAGGGTGTTTCAAAAAAATATATATATTTATATATATGTATATATATATATATATATATATATATATATATATATATATATATATAAATATATATATATACATACATATATATATATATATATATATATATATATATATATATATATATATATATATATATATATATATATATATTTATTAGGGTGTTTCAAAAAAATATATATATTTATATATATGTATATATATATATATATATATATATATATATATATATATATATATATATATATATAAATATATATATATATATATATATATATTTATATATATATATGTATATATATATATATATATATATATATATATATTTATTAGGGTGTTTCAAAAAAAGACAATGTCTCCAAAAAAAAAAGAGCCATAGCTTATCATCTGCCCAAACCATGATTTAGTACTAAAAAAAATTTTTTTTTTTAATTTTTGAAAATTCTAAGGGTACCTTCAGGGGGTAAAAGAGGCAATTTTTAAATCATTTTGTACTATTTTTAAAACTGTTTGAAGGAAGTCTTGATATTAAAGTTTTTGATTTTTTTTTATATGAAAGTTTGTGAAGACTTAATCTAATTAAAATGGACTCTACTCTCAAAAATAAATTAAAAACTCAAAAAAAATTGTTTCAAAAACCCTAAATCCATAAATATTAAATAAAAATATTATTACATTTTTTAAATATTTTTATAAATAAAGTTTTAAATTTTTTAGTAATTAAAATATTTTCTTGAAATGCATTTTATATTAATTTTTTTTTAAATTATATACTTAAATAATTAATATAATGCCACCAAAAAAAAAGTTAAAAGTATTAGATGGGATAGAATATTTTTAATTAAAAAGTTAATCGAACAAATTCCAGCAAAAAAATTTGAAACTGCTAAAGAATTTATTAAATATTATCTCATTCTACAAAAATCAAAGTGTGAAGAAAAAGTAAAGTTCTTAGTAGGTTGTCCTAACAAAAGTTCTTTTTTTATACCCAATTGTCCAGTTGTTCAGCCCAACTGCTGTATACTGTCCAAACAAAGGGTACCTTGGATACTTAGTGGATTTAAAGTGCTTACAATACAAAAGCTAAAGTAATATTTTCAATAAGTTCTAAATTATTTTAATCTATGTTTATTACATAAATATGCTGTTAAATAATATTTTTACAGAATTAAAACTGAGAAACTGTTGAAGGAGTAGATGAAATTAAAAGATAAAAGAAACAGAATAAATCCTACTGAAATAAAAAAAAGACATTTGTTTGAAGAGAAAATGAATAAGATATTTTGGATTGGAGAACATCCTCATGATATATTTGAAGAAATATTAAAAGATAAAATGAGAAAAGTGAAAGACAAAGAGAAAGAAAAAGATATTGCTTTCATAAAAGACCAGCTTAGTGAATAAAAATATCCCTTGTTGTTAATTGCATGTAGAAATTGCATGTAATTGAGCACATTTCTTAAAAAGATTTACCCAAGCAACTTCTGATCCTCATTGAAACGCCAGTAAATAATAGACGCAACTCTGAGGAGATGTTTATTACTTACTCACTACACAAATTATGTTTACACATTAGCATTAATATTTTTTTTCCATTATTAAATGTCTCTCATTGTTGTTATCAGAATTTTTATTTTGTGATCCGTTTTTTGTTTAACAAGTTTTTGTCTGGTGATATATATCTTCGTTCATACTGGTGTTTATAAAACAATTTTTTTTTTTTTTTTTTAATTTTATTTCTATTGTTATTATTGTTGTGGGTATATAGCCTTATTTATTTTTAAATATTCCTCTAATTAATCTTTATTTTTGTCTTGACAACTGTCAAAATATGCTTTGCCTAATAAATAATTCTCCTTTATTCTAATGTACTTCATTTCTTCCCTCAGGCGTTCACTGCTGTGTGACCATTCGGCGAATTTTATATGCCAAAGTTTTAAAATAAAACAAAACTGGAAGATAATACTTAGTATTGAAATAAAAAGTATCGATGCTGAAACTAAGGAACTGAAAAGAATAATAATACCACCTGGAATGTGGATATATAATCAAAAACTAGCTGCTGTTCAATTTTGCCATAATGTGATCAGTTTAAAAATCTTCAATAAGGTAATATTTTGATTTTTATTCATTTTCTGTTAAAATCTAATTTTTAAAAAGTAACATTTATTACAAATTTAAAATATATACAAAACCTTTTAGGACAGAAATATAAGAGAAGAATACCATGAGCTAGCTGAACTTACTTAAATGGTTCTATCATCAAATAGGTTTGAATTTCATATACCAAAACCAGTTCACTATTTAAGAATTATGAGAAAAGGTTTATACTACTTAAAATTGTATCTTTTAATGAATGAAATCCAAAACATGACTGACAAACATAAAGAAAAAAAAATTGGTATGGCTTTATTCATTTGTATTTTCTATACAGAATGGTTTCTAAAAGCAGAGTTAAGTTCTTTAGCACCAACACAGGTATCAGTCTTTTAGTATTTTTTAAATAAGTTAAAAAGCTCATTATTGATTAAAGTTCAAAATGTTAATGGATATTATTTATTAGGATATTAAAGCTTACTGACAAATGAAAAGGTTTGAGGAATGGAACCTATTTGGCTCTCAAGCTGTTGCAACTTAAATACTTAATTAAAGTAATTCAAAATGTTAATGGATATTATTTATTAGGATATTAAAGCTTACTGACAAATGAAAAGGTTTGAGGAATGGAACCTATTTGGCTCTCAAGCTGTTGCAACTTAAATACTTAATTAAAGTAATTCAAAATGTTAATGGATATTATTTATTAGGATATTAAAGCTTACTGACAAATGAAAAGGTTTGAGGAATGGAACCTATTTGGCTCTCAAGCTGTTGCAACTTAAATACTTAATTAAAGTAATTCAAAATGTTAATGGATATTATTTATTAGGATATTAAAGCTTACTGACAAATGAAAAGGTTTGAGGAATGGAACCTATTTGGCTCTCAAGCTGTTGCAACTTAAATACTTAATTAAAGTAATTCAAAATGTTAATGGATATTATTTATTAGGATATTAAAGCTTACTGGCAAATGAAAAGGTTTGAGGAATGGAACCTACTTGGCTACTTGATATTATTTATTATTTAAAAACGTTGAGTACTGTTTTATTGTATAGCCTGTCTTATTTATTTTTAAATATTCCTCTATTAATCTTTATTTTTGTCTTGACAACTGTCAAAATATGCTTTGTCTAATAAATACTTCTCCTTTATTCTAATGTACTTCATTTCTTCCCTCGGGCGTTCACTGCTCGTGTGTGACCATTCGGCGAATTTTATATGCCAAAGTTTTTAAATAAAATGTTAATGGATATTATTTATTAGGATAATAAAGCTTACTGGCAAATGAAAAGGTTTAAGGAATGGAACCTACTTG